TCTAGTAAACAATAAACACATCTAAAAATACCTTTCCCAAACTTTTTTCATTTATTTAAAGACATGTCTATAAATCAATCCCTGTGTTTTTAATTATGCGCACTCCACAGCCCACTTAATGTCAATCGCTGATGTAATAAAATATTTTGGAATAGAAGATCCTGAACTAGTTATCCCATATTGATATTTCCTCCTGTTCAAGAACCAAGCATTTCTGTCAATTAAGAGTTCTTTTATAGTTTTTAAAATATGCTGTTCAGCAGCTGCTCTGCAATAAATTAAGTTGGTGTTGGTATGGCCATGTTCTAGAGGCATTTCTCCTGACGTTTCGCCTGTATCTATGGCAAGCATCCTCAAACCTCACCTCTGAGGATGCTTGCCATAGATGCAGGCGAAACGTCAGGAGAAATGCCTCTAGAACATGGCCATATAGCCCGAAAAAACCCACAAGAACCTAGTGATTCCAGCCATGAAAGCCTTCGACAATACATTAAGTTGGTGTACTTGCATTCTCTCAAAATATTTTTTTTATTTTTGTCTCAATGTGAAACACAAATGAATTATAATAGGGACCAGGAGTTTAAAACTGGCAGAGAGAAAGGCAGGGGGCAAATACTGCTAGATCAAAGTTGGGTAATTTGTGGCCTCCCAGGAGTTACCAAACTGCAAGGCCTATCAACCTTCATCATTAAGTATGATGGCTAGGGCCTGACCTTGCTACAGAGGAACAGTATTTTCTGGACAACTACTATTATTTTCTTTCTCCCTATCAGCCACAGGGACTGAATCCCTTTGCAAGAAAGGACTTTTGAGATTTAGATACTAGCCATTATATTTGACACTGGTATAGGTTTTCAGAAAACAATAATATTTGAAATCACATTATAAAAGATCCAGAACAAAACGAAAACTTTTAAACACTTCTAAAATACAAGCATTACAACCAACAACAGATGGAGCTGGACTACATAACAATGGATAAAATAACATAAGAAAACAGATTACGGATTACTAATTCTGCTACTGTAATGCAGTTAACTTGCTCTGCTGTAAATATAAATGTTAATATTTGTGTATAGTAACACAAACAACCTTCCCTATACAGTGTTGAAATATGCAGTCATTATTCACCAAAAATGACCAGATAATCAGTCTGATCAAGTTTCTTGCAGATCTGCAAGCTAATAAGTTTGCAGATCTGTTTCCACAAAAATGCAAATTGTAACAAAACAAGGAATGCTTTCACTTGGTACGGGATATACTATGATGCTACTTCCAGTCACAACTAACTTGCAGCTGCTAATACCATTTTTCAAACAGGGTATCTGCTGATACTCTTAGGTTAGCATTTATAACATTTCTGCTTTCACTGAGTGAGTTTAACAGTACTTTAAGTAACATGTATTAATTCAGAGTAAATATACATAGAATTGCTATGTAAGATGAGTACCAATTTCACTCTTAAGCGAGTAACTGTTAAACACATCCAGAAAGTTTGTATATTGCATTTATTTAAATTCACAATCCAACTTTTTGTTAAAACGAGTAGTCAATGTAGATCGCAACAGCAAAACAATATAAAACCAAGTATAAATTGAAAACAAATGAAAAGCACAATTAAAAAGCATCAAGAGAAAGAAGCCGCCAAAGAGTCAATACTCTCCTCAGCAACAAGGTTAACAAGACTTCATTGGCAGAGAAACTTCAGAACATCATGGCAGTCACCAACAAAATCATCATGTTCTCACCTAATGTTCCCTCATGGATGACAGAAATAATGCATCCAAAGTGCTTATGATCCTATTTATGTTTAACATGCAGTATTTAAAATAGCCTGGTTTCAAGTTCTATTATACTGTATAGGTCATAATTGAATTACTGAAATAGGCCAGGAAATAGACCCCCCCCCCCCCAAACTGTGAAGCTGTCCATAACAAGAGATTCACAGGCTGGCCTTGGTTCTGGACCAGTGGAATTTTCCAAATGATTTTCAAACAGCCCCATGTACAGCACATTACAGTAGTCTAAATGGACTTTGAATTGTAGTCATGTCAAAAAGAATCTTCTAGTAACTGAACTTTGTTGTTCTGCCTTCATTATGATTACACAATAATTAACTCCATCTTGTGAGCTTACATTTTCTCAGATTCAGCAAGTTATATCATTCATAGACAGGCTATTATGCAAAACTGAAGGCTTCAATTTCACTTACAAGGAAGTCTTTAACATTGTTATTCTAATGGGAAACACATCAGGACCCTTCTTAGGGAATTGTATCTTTCAAACATGACCCATAAGTGGACTCCAAGAAATATTTGCTTAGAAAACTCAATAGTCATTATAATTCTGAGATTGAGGCCACTTGTTGACAATATGTAATATTTGCTCCCAAGTCTTATTTTTCTAGTTTTCTAGAAGTGACAACAGAGTTTGGGGGCCTTAATATCCATGCTCAGAATACCATTAGGAAGAACCATATTGATTTTACAGTCGTATTTCCTATTCTAATAACTAACAAGTGATATTCTCTTTTTACAGAGTTTACAATTGAAATATAACTATAAAAACAAACAGTTTCATAATTAGTTGAGAGGGGTTGACCTAAACTTTTCATGTGACATAGACATTTTCTTCATATTACTGAAGTAATGCTTCTGGCCCCATAGCAGAAGATAAAGAGATTGGACATTGTTTTTTTAACAAGAGTACTAAAGCAACTGCACTGCATTATGACCTTGTAAACTAAATCATCAAAATAAAAGAATTTACATCTCTCTAGTAGATAATTATTGAGTTGATCGGAGCACTGTTTAAGAGTTTATATAATTACTATACTACAAACCAGAAAATGTTTCTATTTATATATTTTAAACCGTAATCAACTAAAAATAAGTTTTCTATACTATAGTCTAAAAATAAACCTGACACAATATTAAAGATTAAAGGTATAATACATACGGATGTTAATTATCTTAGATGACGGAGATGAAGCTCAATGAACTTTGTTCAAGCTGATATATGCAACTCTGTTTTTGCCTCACAGCTCAGTTTTCCCAAAGAAACAGCCAAGAACAAAATGCCTGCCACTTCAGTGTTTTAAGCATATGCCATAAATCCAACCATTTCAGGTATTTTCAAGAGCGCTTTCAGGCCAATCTGAGCTTGCTATTGTCAGCTTCCTATCTAGGAACGTGTGCAAAAGTGACAAGGAGTGATGCAAGTCTGACTACTGGTATGGAGAAAAGAGGACACACAGTTCCATTGTAAATTTCCAGGATTCCAAACACTCTTAATCAACTCTTGACGAGTGCTCATTGTTAGAAATCAAACGCTTTGCTCCACAATGCTTCAAATGTCTACCAAATCCAAACCTTCCATTTCAAGAAAATTGTAGCATTTACACGATTAAAAGTTTTGACCCTTTTTGAGGATTGCATACTTGCACACACACAAATGCAAACAAAAGGCAAGAACAATCGGCAGAGCCTCCCCGCGTCCAAAGGGGAAAAAAATCACGAATGTGCAACATTCATTTTTCAGAATACCATACATTATTGTACAAAAGTTCCCGTCTGCCTTTGCTAACCATAATTTTAGGAGTAAAATAAAGCAGCATTAATCATTTCATAAGCTGCATAATTGCTACATCTTGTGGCAATAGAGTTTAATGCAAGGAAGGCGGGGAGGGGAGGGGGGAACGGACAAACAATAAAAAAGACTTGTTTGCACATAACCTTCATACAGATATTCCCTGCAAACACCCACAACACCCCGCTCTCGCTCTCCCTGTGGTTGTAGTACAAGAGGGGTGGAGGAAAAGGAGAAATGGGAGGGAAGAAGCAAGGGGGGGGGGAGTGGGAGAAATCACCAAAGGGCCCTTCCACGCAGCCCTATATCCCTGAATATCAAGGCAGAAAATCCCACAATATCTGCTTTGAACTGGAATATATTTATTTATTTATGACATTTATATGCTGCCCTTCTCACCCCAAAGGGGACTCAGAGCATGTATATACAATATATTATATTATTAGCATAGCACAATATTAGTATTAGTATTACATATAAACATATGGCAGTGTGGACTAAGATAACCCAAGGCCCTTCCACACAGCCCTATATCCAGGAATATCAAGTCTGAAAATGCCACAATATCTGCTTTGAACTGGGTTGTCTGCCATATATTCCAGTTCAAAGCAGAAAATGTTGGATTTTATTCAGTTGTGTGGAAGGGCCCCCCAGTTCAAAGCAGATATTGTGGGATTTTATTCAGTTGTGTGGAAGGGCCCCCCAGTTCAAAGGAGATATTGTGGGATTTTCCGCCTTGGTATTCTGGGCTATAGGGCTGTGTGGAAAGGCCTCAAGATATGATGGAGGAAAAGGAGAAAGTTGCAGTCATTCCCTGCTGGCTTTTCATGTGTCTTCGTCACTTTGGTAGGAAACCAATGGCTGAAGAAAAAGAAAGTGCCTTCCCTCCTCCTCCTTTCTGTAAGTGCCTCGATCTTTGTCTCACCACCCGACACCTCCATGATGCCAAAAAGACACGACCCTTTTTAAAAAAATAAATAATAAGAAAGCAACCTCATCCCCATCCACCACTAAAGGAGTCCTCCTTCCTACCCTTAAATATTTCACAATAGGATGAAACACAAATAGGAATAAAACTATAGAAATAATTATGAGGGTTGTGTAAAAACAAAGGGCAGGGAGGGAAGCGGTTTTCAAAAAGGAAGAGAGAGGGGAAAGCCAAGTGAGAGAAGGCAGGGAGGGAGGGGGATAAGGAGACATTTTGGGGGATAATAAATAGCCCTGACTGAAGGGAGTGGAGGATGCCGAAGCAATGGTGGGAAGGAAGACATGTCTCCTTCCTCGCCCCTTCAAGCCTGGGACTGGCCTCAGGCGATGGCTGCTGCTCTTGACAAGGCTGGGCCCCTCCTCCTCCTCCTTCTTCCCTTCCTCCCTTCCTTCCCCAAAGGCCCACTTCCCAAGCCTCTCCTCACCTTCCTTCAGCGGCGGAGGGTTATGGGCCAGCGAGGAGGCCTCCACGGCCGCCGCCGCCGCTACTGTCACGACTGCTGCCGCCACCGCTGAGGCCTCCGCCTCCGAGCAGCAGCCCTGGAGGCTCAATGGTGGTGGTGGTGGTGTCGGCGGTGGCGACGACGACGTGGAGAGCCGGGACCAAGATGGCGGCCCCGCCAAACTTCCACCGCGACTTTGGACACTCATCAAGCTACTTTCCGGGAGCCCGGCGGCGCTGCTCTTGGTGCCGCTGCTGAAGGGAGAGAATGAGGCCGAGGCGGCGGACGGGGCGGCTGGGGGCAACCCTCCGCGAAGACGGGGAAGAAGCGGGTGCTCGCTCCGTGTGGCCGCCCCGCCGCCGCCGCCCCCGCGGTCATGGCCGGGGTGAGGCGGCGGTTATGGGGGGAAGGAGGGAAGGAGGCGCGGAAGAGGGGGGAAAGGTCCTCTTCTTCCTCCTCCTCCTCCTAAGCCCAAAGCAACCCGCGCGCGCGCCTCTGCACTGCGTCGCCTGCGCCGCGAGACAGAGGGAATCCTCTCTCTCGCGCGCGCACTCCCTCTCCCTCTCTCTCGCGGCACTCTCTCTCTCTCCGCCTCACCTTCTCAGGGAGGGGTCATGCGCAGACACTGCGAGGAATAGAAAAGGGAGGGAGGGGGGCTAGGGCCAGGGAGCCAAAGTGAGGGAGAGAATGAGAGAGAGAGGAGGCCGGCACACGCAGCCAGCCGGCATGGGCACCTGCTCCTCCTCCTCCTCCTCTTCCTCCTCCTCCGCCCCACAGGCACAGAGGAAGAGGAAAGAAGAAGAAGAAACAGGAGTAGCAACAGCACGCGCCCTCTCGGCAGCCGCCTCCCTCCGCCAGGGCGACCCTGGATTGGCTTAACGCCCCGCTCGCCCTCACCTCACGCAGCCAAGGGGAAGGGGAGGGGGGCGGCATCCGTATCCGCGGGTTCCAAAGGCCACCGGGTCCCGCCATCCGCGTTTGTTTTTAAAATAGTGTTCCTATAATATACACACTCCATGCACGAGAAGGCTGCTGCTGGGTTTCCGCTATCCGAGGGTTCGAAAGTATAGCCGCCTTATTCCAAACACTATATAGGGCTGGGGCGGAGGGTCCTCCGTATCCGCGGTCTCAGCATCCGCGGGACCCACCAACGTTTCAAAAATATCCCTCTTAATAAATCAAGTCCAACCCACCCCCAAACCCATAGACAGTCTGCCCCGCCCCCGTATCCGCGGGCTCAGCATCCGCGGGTCCCACCAACGTTTCAGAAAATGCCCTCTGGCACATCAAGTCCAACCTCTCCCCACCCCATAGACCGTTTGCCCCGCCCCCATATCATCGGGCTCAGCATCCGCGGGTCCCACCAACTACAAGAAAGGAGATTCCATCTGAACAGGAGGAAGAACTTCCTGACTGTGAGAGCTGTTCAGCAGTGGAACTCTCTGCCCCGGAGTGTGGTGGAGGCTCCTCCTTTGGAAGCTTTTAAACAGAGGCTGGATGGCCATCTATCAGGGGTGCTTTGAATGCAATATTCCAGGGGGTTGGACTGGATGGCCCATGAGGTCTCTTCCAACTCTATGATTCTATGATTCCAAAAACACCACCCCATGGATGCTTTGCCCCGCCCCCATATCCGTGGGCTCAGTATCAGCAGGTCCCACCGACGTTACAAAAGCATCCCCTCTGGAACATCAAATCCAGCCCCACCCCATAGACATTTTGCCCTGCCCCTGTATCAGTGGGCTCAGCATCCGCGAGTCCCACCAACGTTTCAAAAACATAAGTAACAAAAACCCACCCCATGGACAGTTTTGCCCCGCCCCCGTATCCACGGATCCTGGGGATGTTGTAGTTCCGTATCCGCCTTGTGAATAGATTTGGTGGCTACTTAAATATCCAACAGTAGCTGATTCCGCCATCCACCATTTGAAACCTTCTCCCAAATAAATTTCCAAACATTATGGACCCAATGGATTCAATTACCCCCAGTCCCAAAGTGTCCTCTCTCTCTTCTTCAGGATGGAGTTTCAATGTAGTTTCTTTGTTATTGTTGTTCTAAATTACAATACCATAGCATCATTTAAATATAAAATTAAGTAAGTTTACATTAAAGTAAAGGTAAAGCTTTCCCCTTGACATTAAGTCTAGTCGAGTCCAACTCTGGGGGGGGGGGGTGCACACCTCCATTTCTAAGCTGAAGAGCCGGCGTTGTCCATAGACGCCTCTGAGGTCATGTGGCTGGCATGACTGCATGGGGTGCCATTCACTTCCCGCCAAAGTAGTACCTATTGATCTACTCACATTTGCATGTTTTTAAACTGCTAGGTTGGCAGAAGCTGGGGCTAACAACAGGAGCTCACGCCGCTCCCCGAATTCAAACTGCCAACTTTTTGGTCAGCAAGTTCAACAGCTCAGCAGTTTAACACACTGCACCACCAGGGCAGTTTACGTTATGAGTGAAAAATCAAATCTGGTGAATGGCATCGGAAAAAGAATAATAATTATCAATATGTTATTAAAGCATCAGACCCCCTTCTGGACTGCTTATACTGGGACTTGAGCACCCTTGGATTTCGGTATCCACAGGGGTATCCAGGAACCAGCCCCCCAGAGCCACTTTGGGCCTCAATCCTCAGGGGGAGGGAGGAAATGGGGTATAAATCAATATAATGCAGTTAGCCCTCCATGTCTGCTGGAGGTAGGGGCACAGGACCCCCATTAAAGTGAAAAACTGCATATAAAAATATTGGGGGTTTTTTATTTGAGACAACATGAGGTATTCACACTGCAGAAGTGATGCAGTTTAACACCACATTAGTTGCCATGGCTCAATGCTGTGGAATCCTGGGCAATGTGGTTTGCTGAGAAGACGAAAGGTCTTGCAGAACGACAACAAAGATTCCATAGCATTGAACCACAGCAGTTAAAGTGGTGACAGGCTGGGTTAATTCCACAGCATAGATGCAACCCAAACCCTTACAGACAACACAACTCTGTGGTCAATATTCAATGGAAGTTGGCCACTGAGTCCCACTGGAAGACTAGATTCTTCGGGAGAGGAGGGCGACTAAAATGATCAAGGGTCTGGAGAACAAGCCCTATGAAGAGCGGCTTCAATAATTGGGCATGTTTAGCCTGAAGAAGAGAAGGCTGAGAGGAGATATGATAGCCATGTATAAATATGTGAGAGGAAGCCACAGGCAGGAGGGAGCAAGCTTGTTTTCTGCTTCCTTGGAGACTAGGACGCAGAACAATGGCTTCAAACTACCAGAAGATTCCATCTGAACATGAGGAAGAACTTCCTGACTGTGAGAGCTGTTCACCAGTGGAACTCTCTGCCCCAGAGTGTGGTGGAGGCTCCTTCTTTGGAAGCTTTTAAACAGAGGCTGGATGGCCATCTGTCAGGGGTGATTTGAATGCAATATTCCTGCTTCTTGGCAGGGGGTTGGACTGGATGGCCCATGAGGTCTCTTCCAACTCTATGATTCTACTATTCTAATCGAATCTGCAAAAGTCAACCCTGCAAAAGTGGAGGGCCAACTAGAATGTGATCCCAGTGGATACCGAGGGCCTACCATACCTTTCTTTCCTCCATCCCACCTTACATTTTCCATATAGAGGATGATTCATACCCTCAATGATTCATGCCACTGGCATCCAGATCAAACAGGGCTTGCTTCCAAAAAGCAGCAACAGTGAATAGATTTGATGGCTACTTAAATATCCTGAGGGCCCTTCCACACAGCCATATAACCCAGAATATCAAGGCAGAAAATCCCACATTATCTGCTTTGAACTGAAATATAAGGTAGTGTGGACTCAGATAGCAGAGTTCAAAGCAGATATTGTGGGATTTTCTGTGTTGATATTCTGAGCTATATGTCTGTGTAGAAGGGCCCTAAGGACACCAGATACCGTTTGATCTTGGAAGTTAAGCAGGGTCAGCCCGGGTTAGTACTTGGATGGGGAATGACCAACAAATAATGTGAGCTATGCTTCAGAAGAAGGAAATGGCTCAACGCCTTGAGAATATTCCTTGCCTACAAAACCTTATGAAATTTATGAGTTTGTCACAAGTTGTCAGGTGGCTTGAAGGCACATAATAATAATAATAATAATAATAATAATAATAATAATAATAACTTTATTTATACCCTGCCACCATCTCCCCAAGGGGGCATAACACACACACAACACAAATGAAATGGTATCAATAAGCAAGTGATACTAAAAAGACATTAAAAGAACAGAAGCCTTACTCTCTTCTCCTCAAGGCCACACAATTTCTGATCCAATGTCTGAATAATAATAAAAATACATTTTATTTAGTACCTGCTTTCCCTCGTGAAAGCTGGAACAGAGCAACGCCTGGACGACTGGCGCTATGGCCCTCACGCTACATAACTGTAGTACTCTAATTCACTTGGCTGAACCTTGGGAGTTGTAGTTTGGTCAGAAGATTCGAAAATTGCCAATCTCAACTGCCAATCTCAAGATTCCATAGGAGGAAACCTGGTTAGTTAGTTTAAAGCAGAGGTTACCAAACATATTTGGTCTACCACTCCCTTTTTCAGAAGAAAAAAAAGCAAACAAGTCAGCATTGCCTTGAAATCTATGTTCTTTAAGCAAACAAACAGAAATCTGCTGTGACAAATTTGCATTATGTATCTATATTTATATCTACATCCTATATAGAAATGGGTTGTTACTCTGGCTTTTAAATTTTAATGTTTAACTCTTATTAGTTTCAGTTTTTAAAGTTTTGTTTTAAATGCTTATTCGTCAAAGTTTGAATGTTTAGTTGTATAATGCCTAATTTGTTATAATGTACCACTGCCGCCTGATGCTGATGCCTTATATGTTATTATTTGATTTATAGTTTGCTTATTTGCTTTTTTAGTCGCATTTATGACACTGAATGTTTGCCATAAGTCCCCATTGGGGAGATAGGGTGGGATAAAAATGAAGTGTTTATATATATATATATATATGCATGGTCGTCCCCTGCCACACATTGCTGTGGCTCAGTCTGTGTATATGTGCTTTGTGTGTATATATATGTGTTTGCATATATATGTGTGGTTTTGTGCTTGCATTGTAATGTAATTTTTGGTTTTTGGCTTTTTAAGTCCCTTCTCCGGTTTTTCAGTGTTTTTATGAGTGATGGTCACTCATTAGCCTAACAGGTGTCTTGTGTCCAAATTTTGTGTCATTCCATCCAGTGGTTTTTGAGTTATGTTAATCCCACAAACAAACATTACATTTATTATATTTATATTCTACTAAGAATATAAGAGACGAAGCGGATTTTTATGTAGTTTGTAGTTGTTTGTATAGCTATGTGTTTGTAGATACTGACTTTTGTAACTGTCTTTTATGTGTACTGTACACCGCCATGAGTCGCCCGTAAGGGCTGAGAATGGCGGTTAATAAATGAATCAAATAAATAAATAAATAAATAAATAAATATATTTATTTATTTATTTATTAACGGGAGCCCCCGATGGCGCAGTGGGTTAAAACAAGGAGCTGCTGAACTTGTTGACCGAAAGGTCACAGGTTCGAATCTGGGGAGCAGGGTGAACTCCCACTTTTAGGCCCAGCTTCTGCCAACCTAGCAGTTCGAAAACATGCAAATGGGAGTAGATCAATAGGTACCACTCTGGGGGG